CCCTGAGCAAGATCAGACGCCCCCGCATCTGCAGACCCCTGCTGTCCCCACATCCTGGCTGGGGTCCGGCGCTCCGGAGCCCATCCTCCCACCGACTACCCTCTTTGCTCCTGCACTTTTATTTTTATTTTATTTCATTTATTTGGGATGGAGTCTCACTCTGTCACCCAGGCTGGAGTGTAATGGCGCGATCTCGGCTCACTGCAATCTCCGCCTCCCGGGTTCAGGCAATTCTCCTGCCTCAGCCTCCCGAGTAGCTGGGACTACAGGCGTGCACCACCATGCCCGGCTAATTTTGTATTTTTAGTAGAGACGGGGTTTCGCCATGTTGGACAGGCTGGTCTTGAACTCCTGACCTCAGGAGTTCCTCAGGAGGAGTTCTCGGCCTCTCCAAGTGCTGGGATTACAGGCGTGAGCCATAGCGCCAGGCCTGCTCCTGCACTTCTAAAGAAATCGCCCAGGACTTCTCATCTTAAACCAGAAACAATAAGGAAAGCCACTCCGTTGACTTTACAGCTTCTGTGTTGCTCTTCACAGCCCAAGTTTATAAAAGAGACGCGTTTTCCGCTGTCTGCATCCCCTCTTCTCACCCCTGCTTCCCGAAGGAGGCCCTGAGCGCCCAGCAGCCCTTGGTCCTGCATCCCCCTCCAGACATCTGAAGGGCCTGTCTCCGTCCACCCTGCCCGGATCCATCTTCCAGTGCCCGGATCTATCCCCCATCCCCAGATCCATCCCCGCCTCCCCGAATCCATCCCCACTGCCTGAATCTACTCTCCCCTGCCCAGCTCTATTCCCCCTACCTGGATCCATCCCCTTGCCCATGCCTGGCCCCTTCACCCACTCTCTCCCCTGGGGCCCCACACATCCAAACTTACCTGGGCCCTCCTCTGGCAGAAAGGGGCCTTCTCAGTCCCACAGGTCCAAGTGGGTAATCCTGGCTCTGCTTCCCTGGGGGCCTTCTGCGGCTGCCCCCACCCTGGGCTGAGTGAGCGGCCCCCATCACCCTGGCAGCTGAGCAGTGGGGCTCCTCACTCGCCCCAGCTGCAGGCGTGCCCTGGCCGTGGAAGCTCACAGGGGCTCTATCCCTGCAGAATGAATGGAATGCCTACTACGAGGAGGTGGTGTACGTCCTGGAGGAGATAGAGTACATGATCCAGAAGCTCCCCGAGTGGGCTGCAGATGAGCCCGTGGAGAAGACGCCCCAGACTCAGCAGGATGAGCTCTACATCCACTCGGAGCCTCTGGGCGTGGTCCTTGTCATCGGCACCTGGAACTACCCCTTCAACCTCACCATCCAGCCCATGGTGGGCGCCATCGCTGCAGGTGCATGGCCCTGTGGGAAGGGAAGCTGGGGGAGCACCGTCCACCACCACGGAGCCGAGCCAGGACGGGCTCAGGCCTGTGTGAAGAGTCCTGGGGTCAGATAAGGGTTTGCTGGGTCTGTCACAGGAGGCTGTGGGGACCACGCTATTTAGCCAGGCCTCTTGGTGCCTGAGGTCCAGTCAGGCTCAGGTGTCCACACCTGATGATGGAGAGAGGGCCTGCCTTCCCCCACCCTTGGGGGGGCTGGAGCTTCTGTCACCTAATATGCACCAGGGCTTCCTTCCTAGAAGGGGCCAGCGCTGTTCTACCATCCAGGCCCCCAGAGCCTCTCTCCCCTTTCTGCTTTTCCTCCAACATCTCAGCAACTCAGAAGGCCAGGTGGTGCAACTGTGGCCAGCGTGTGCCTGTGCGTGTCCCTCTGTCATGTGCCCGTGTGTGCTCCTGGGTGTGCCCCGTGGCATGTGCTTGTGTGCCAATAACTCTCCCATCCACTCTTCCAAGGACACACGATGGAGGGGAGGCTTCAGGTGTGGTCCTTGGGAGGGCAGAGCCTCTGGGTGAGGTACCCTGGGCATAGGCCTGGCTCTGTGTGCTCTGCAGGGAACGCGGTGGTCCTCAAGCCCTCGGAGCTGAGTGAGAACATGGCGAGCCTGCTGGCTACCATCATTCCCCAGTACCTGGACAAGGTGAGGTGCCCTCCGGGGCCTCATAACTCCATGGCCTCATAACTCAGCTGGGGCCAGGTATTTGGGGGATGAGAAATAGTGAATTCTTGCAGCAAGGGACCAAGCTGGTGGCGCTGAGGATGGTCCTTAGCAGCTGCCTTCTCTCATTGGGGTGAACAGAGCCCCTGGGCCAGGAAAGGGGGTCTACTGCCAGTTGCCACCCCCTGCCCCCAAGGTGGGGTGCTGGGCTTCGGGGCTGCTGGTCTCAGCCACTGCCCATCTACACTTGTGAGAGCGAGGAAGGGCTTGGTGTTCGCTGAGCACCCCCTCTCTCCTTGCTTGGAAGGATCTGTACCCAGTCATCAATGGGGGTGTCCCTGAGACCACGGAGCTGCTCAAGGAGAGGTTCGACCACATCCTGTACACGGGCAGCACGGGCGTGGGGAAGATCGTCATGACGGCTGCTGCTCAGCACCTGACCCCTGTCACGCTGGAGCTGGGAGGGAAGAGCCCCTGCTACGTGGACAAGAACTGTGGCCTGGACGTGGCCTGCCGGTGAGAGGCTCCGGCCTGCTGGCTGCGGCGGCCCTTACTCTGCCTTCCAGCACACATGACTGCACCTCACGCTGTGGGTCCACTCTGAGTAGCACAGACACCCCCTGCCTCACGGAGCAGTGGTCCTGGCAGAAACTCACATGGGGATAGGGGTGGGGACCACGTGCACAGAAGACGCGTGGGGAGTCCCAGAAGGCTTCCTGGAGGGGGAGAGGTCCAGGCTGAGCTCTGTTCGCTGAGTGGGCATCACTGGGGAAGTGGTACTCCAAACAGAGGCTGCAGAAAAAGCAACTGGGGGATGTTCAGGACACAAGGAAATGTACTGGGTCCAGCCCTCTGCTGGGGCAGGGCAATCTGAGTTCTGGAGAGCAGGCCCAGAGGGGAGAAGAGCCACCGCCACTCGGGGTCTGGGGAAGATCCCGTATCTGCACCTCCCGACCCTAGCCAGGGCTCTGGCCACCTCCCTATCCCACATCTGTGGCCCCCAGAGATGTAGGGGAGCCTGAGTAGCAGTGACATCTGGCTGTGCAGGGCAAGGGCGTGATCAGGGAGCACAGAGGCTGCCCCCAACAGACGTCCTCTAGAAATTCCCTACCAGTCCCCGGTGAACACAATCAGGGGCATTGGGTCTTCCTGGTCCAGTGTCTAGAAGTAAGCAGACCGCTTGGGAGGACTCACTGGTGGCAAGGTCACAGCCGATGGCTTCTGCTGACCAGAGAGCTCAAGGGTCTGCAAAACGAGGTGCAGCTCTTGGGGAACCTTTTGGATTTAGTCCAGTCTGGGACTTTCACAGACGCATCGCCTGGGGGAAATTCATGAACAGTGGCCAGACCTGCGTGGCCCCCGACTACATCCTCTGTGACCCCTCGATCCAGAACCAAATTGTGGAGAAACTCAGGAAGTCACTGAAAGTGAGTATGGGACCCTTGGTGGGGTGGGATGGGAAGCCTCCCATCACAAGGTGGGCCTGGCCCCTTAACTAACTTCTAGGGATTTGGAAACAGTGGATTTATTTTCTTCTAATATAAATATAATGCAAGCTAGGCATGGTGGCTCACACCCATAATCCCGCACTTTGGGAGGTGGAGGCTGGAGGATCACTTGAGGCCAGAAGTTTGAGACCAGTCTGGGCAACATGGCAAGATCCCGTCTTTGCAAAAAATGTTTTTAAATTAGCCAAGCATGGTGGATGGGTGGTGCGTGCCTGTTGTCTCAGCTACTTGGAAGGCTGCGGTGAGGCTGGAGGATTGGTTGGGTCCAGGAGTTCGAGGCGGCAGTGAGCTATGATTGCACCACTGCACTCCAGCCTGGGCAACAGGGCAAGACTCTGTCTCTAAGAAAAAAAAAAAAAAAAAGGTAATGCACACTCACTGGAGATAATTTGGAAAAGATTAAAAAGCATAAAGAAGAAGAAAAATCTCCACCCAGAATCCCACCACCCAAAGACAGCCACTGCTGGCCTGTGTCTGTGCAGCTTTTGGCCATGTCGAGGGTCTGCATCCTCACCCGAAGCCCCCACCTCTTCTCCACAGGAGTTCTATGGGGAAGATGCCAAGAAGTCCCGGGACTATGGAAGAATCATTAGTGCGCGGCACTTCCAGAGGGTGATGGGCCTGATTGAGGGCCAGAAGGTGGCTTACGGGGGCACCGGGGATGCGGCCACTCGCTACATAGGTGCATGACCCCTGAAGGGCACAGCCCACCTGCCCAGGCCGCAGGGGTCCCCAGCAAGTTCACAGCAAGTGGGCACAGATACTTGATAAGCAGACATGACCTCGGGTTGGGTATAAACTGCTTTCACCAGGGAGCCTGGGGTAGACTCTAGCAGGCAGGGGCTGAGGACAGCCCCTGCTCCAGCCTCAGAATCCCCTCTCCCAACAAAGGCCCAGAAAGAGGGGCCTCATCTCCCCGCCCCTCTGTAGCAGCAGGAGCAGGGACAGCAGAGGCCATAGGAGCCCCAGGTGTGCCAAGCCGTGAGGGGCCCCCAGTGCCCAGGCTGTGGGTCACCACATGGGGCCCACTTGGCCCCGAGTTTGTCAAGGAGACAAGAGAATTCTGGCAGGGCATCGGGTGGCCGGCGGGTGCAGTGCCTGCTCCTGGAGACAGATCTCGGGTCCTTCCATACAGGTTAACCTGTAGTTGTCCCCAGTGGTCTGCCCAGATGGCACCCGGGACACAGGTGCCTGGGGCACCTCTCTGGGGCCTCGTCCCTGCCCTTTTCCAAGCCTGGGCAGCTTCGCCTGGAATAGGTTGGGTCTAGGTGCTTGCACTTTCCAACCGCGTGGGGGTCTCTGTGCCATCCAACTCTGGCTCGTTTCCTGCCTCAGCCCCCACCATCCTCACGGACGTGGACCCCCAGTCCCCGGTGATGCAGGAGGAGATCTTCGGGCCTGTGCTGCCCATCGTGTGCGTGCGCAGCCTGGAGGAGGCCATCCAGTTCATCAACCAGCGCGAGAAGCCCCTGGCCCTCTACGTGTTCTCCAGCAACGACAAGGTGGGCAGTGGGCCTGCGGTGCCCTCCTCCAGGGTCCTGGGGCCCACAGACCTGGGTTCAAACTGCAGCTTCACTGTTCTCTGGCTGTGTGACCTTGGGCAAGTCACTGGATCTTTCTGAGCTCCTTTCACCTCGTCTCTAAGATCAGGACAGCAGCATCACCTGAGGGCATTGAATGAGCGATCCTTGCCCAGGGCCCTGCACACAGGCGTGGGGGCAGCTGCTGTCGCTCTTTGCTCGTGTGGTGCTGAGGGCCACGCGGTCTGCGGGAAGAGCGGGAGACGGCGGCTAGGGCTCTGCCTCCACCTGCTCCTGTCCCTGTGGTTCCAGGCTGTACCCAGGCAGGGTGGGGTGGGGGGCTGTGGCATCCTGTGGACAGGAGACTGAGGTCAGTGGCTGGGTCCTGGTGCAGGTGATTAAGAAGATGATTGCAGAGACATCCAGCGGTGGGGTGACGGCCAACGATGTCATCGTCCACATCACCTTGCACTCTCTGCCCTTCGGGGGAGTGGGTGAGTCTGGGGCTGAGCTTGCTGCCTCCCTGTCTCCCTCGGGGGCCCCCAGGGTTGGGCACCCTCACCCAGCAAATTCAGGAGGGGCTGCCTCCTGTGGCCCAGGCCGCAGCTTCCCGCTAACCTCTTCCATTTGGGCCTTGGCCTCTGCCTGCCATCCGTCAGACACACTTAACCTGGGAGTCTAGAGGGTCCTAGAGGTCACCTGGTGCACCAGCCTGTTTCATGGAGGCCTGAGAAAGGTGACCCAGGCCAAAGGTCACACAGCCATTTAGTGGCAGACCTGGGATTAGACCCTTGCTGGGCACTCCCACTGTTGTCCCCAGCGTGGATGCCCTGGGGACACCCTGGACATTGGCCACCCTCAGGAGGCCCAGAAAAGGGCCACAATCTGGGGCTGGGTGCTGAGGTCCCCAGGATTTGAGGGAAGGATGGGTGATGATGGCTGGGGCTCTGCCTTTCTGTCCCTGTGGTTCTGGGATACACCCAACAAGGTGGAGAGGGAAGCCTGGGGCATCCTGGGGGCAGGATGCTGAGCCCTGAACCGACTTCTCCTCCGCAGGGAACAGTGGCATGGGTTCCTACCACGGCAAGAAGAGCTTTGAGACCTTCTCTCACCGCCGCTCTTGCCTGGTGAGGTCTCTGATGAATGATGAAGCCCTGAAAGTCAGATACCCCCCGAGCCCGGCCAAGGTGAGAGAGGGAAGGGGCTGTGGGTGGGGGGAGACCAGGTTGCGTGGGACCAGGGTCTGGGGATCACTGCCTGCTCCGTGTCCCTTTCACAGATGACCTGGCACTGAGGAGGGGCTGCTTCGCCTGGCCTGGCCACACTGTGTCCCATCGGAGTGCGGACCACCCTCACTGGCTCTCCTGGCCCTGGGAGAGTCACTCCTGTAGCCCCAGCCCAGCCCCGCTCCTCTGCTGACCTGCTGTCCTGTGCACACCCCACTCCCACATGGGCCCGGGCCTCACCACTCCAAGTCCCCACCCCATTCTAGACCAATAAAGAGATGAATACAATTTTCTAACTCAGCAAATGCAGGCATATGGCGCTTCTTATGCAGCACTGAACCCACCGACCTGTCCTGCCTGATCCCACTGCCCCACGCAGCGTGGTCACTGACGTGCCAGCAAAGGCCTCTCATCAGCTGGTGGGGCCTTGTGCCAGGAGGCCATGTACAGTGTCAGGGTGACACTCATCTTCCTTTTAGCCTTGGGGAGGTCAGCTCCATCTCTGGTGTGTCCAGCCAAGGAGAGCCTAAGGAGGCCGAGCCTTGTCGGCACAGTGGTTCAGATAGGGAGAGCTGATGCTCGCTCTTCCCAGACTAGCTTCACTATCTTGGGCAGGGGTCACTTTGTGAGACGATGCAGTAGTCAACACAAAACGCCTTGGTTATGGCATAGTGCTGCTCATGGGGGCAAAGGACCCGAGGCCAGGCAGCACCAGCACCCACGGCCAGGACAGGGTCCGGCAAGGCGAGTCTGAGCTGGGTGTTCTGGGGGCTGGTGAGACCCAGAGCCAGGAAGCTTCCCAGCCTGGGCCTGGCAGGTAAGGGGAGGCTGCTGGGGGAGACCTGCTGAGGCTGGGCCGGTCCCTCTGGGTCCCCTACACAGACTCTCCTGGTATCATGCAGCAAAACCCTCCCAGTTTTTGCTGAGATTTCCTTGTGAAAACATAGAGTTTTGTGCTGTCACCACCAGGTGTGCCCGGCCCCGCCTGGGACCCTCGCCTGCCGCCGGCCACTTGGCTGCTCCCAATAAAAGCCTACCCTCCACGTGGTCCGTGCCCTGCCACCACCACCCCCTTCCCACTCCTGACCTTCCTCTCTCCCCTGCGTCTTCAGTCTTCCCTTCTGTCCTGGACCATTCCTATTCTCTAGTGTCTTGCGCCTTATTCCAAGTCCCCCAGACCCCAAATGCAACGAGAAAAGTCGTCAACTGTTACCTGTGCTTCCTTCCCTCCAGTGAGGGGGTGGGAGCAGGGGCAGAGAGGAAACTTTTGTTTTGTTTTGTTTGGATGTTTCCCGTGTGGACCTGTGACTTATAGTATACCCAGAGAATTGAGCCGAACTAAATCTTGGCTGGGAGTGGTGGCTCATGCCTATAATCCCAGTACTTTGGGAGGTCAAAGTGGGAGGATCCCTTCAGTCCGGGAGTTCAATACCAGCCTAGGCAATAGAGATCCTGTCTCTACTAAAAATAAAAAATTAGCTGGGTGCGATGGTGTGTGCCTGTAGTCTCAGCTGCTAGAGAGGCTGAGGCAGGAGGATCACTTGAGCCCAGGAGTTCGAGGCTGTAGTGAGTTATGAGGTGCTACTGCACTCCAGTCTGGGTGCCAGAGTGAGACTCTGTTTCTAAAAAAATTTTAAAACCCAAAGCCAAGAACAAAACAAAATAATATTTTCTCCTAACCGACTCCCCCTGCGGCGACTGCCTCATCCCTCTACGCTCCTTCCCAGCAAGACTCATCTGAATGGGTGTTCTCAAACAGCGCTTCCTGCCCCCACTCACTTCCGCTTGCCCAGGTGACCCTCCCTCACCTCTGTCCTATGGGGAACCCCTGGCTCTTGACCAGGCAGGCGCAGTCTCGTGTGGGCAGATCCCCAGGGTCTCGCAGCCACTTTGGGTGTCTCCACTGCCCTGCCACCTCCTTCCATCTGACCCCACCCTCCCTCGAGCACTCTGTTCTCCGGGTTCCTGGACCCCACAAGCTCCAGTTCTCCTTCCTCACCAGCTTGTGTTCCCAAGTTAGTCTCCATCCCTCCTGACCTTGAGCTCCTGACTCATATATCCGACAACCGACAACCAACTTGACCTGTGAACTTGGAGTCTCAATAGGAAATTAACACTTCTATGCC